AATAATTATTATTTCTGCCAAAAAAAATAAAAATCATTTTTTGATTTTTATTTCTGCCCAAAAAAAATAAAAATCAGAAAATAATTATTATTTTTTGCCAAAAAAATAAAAATCAAAAATTTAAAAAGCATAGTGTTTTATAAAAATATAGCTCAAAACAATAAAAATGCTATCTTTAAAGTTGTTCTCCTATAATTTCTTATATTTGATTTTTTTCTTTAAAAATTCAAAGATAATAATTATTTACGATCCCTGATAAATAAAGCTATGGGTATAAAGTTTTGTGTACATTTAAATCATAATACCAATTTTTCCCCGGATCGGTCCATTATTGGTCATAGCTCCCATATAAGGACTTCTTCCGAAAATCATTTAAACTCACATATTTCATTGTCAAATAAAGCTATCTTGATAAAATTCGACACAAATATGTTTTGTGTACATGCATATGAATCAATCTACGAAATTTTTCTGGAGAGGCGCGTAATTGGTCATAGCTCCTATATAAAGTCCACTTCCGAAAATCACTTAAGCGCACATATGTTTTTAATTAAAAAAATCTATTGGAGTAATATTCGACTTGAATATTTTTTTTTTATACCCTTCACCTGCGTGAGAAGGGTATATATAAGTTTGTCATTCCGTTTGTAATTTCTATAATATAATTTTCCGACCCCATAAAGTATATATATTCTGGATCCTTATAGGTAGCGGAGTTGATTAAGCTATGTCCGTCTGTCTGTCTGTATGTCCGTCCGTCTGTGTGTTTGTTGAAATCAGTTTTTAGAGGACCCCAGATAACGGCGAGATTCAAATCTTCAATAATTCTGTTAGACATGCTTTCGAGAAGATCGCTATTTAAAATCAGCAAAATCGGTCCATAAATACCGGAGATATGAGCAAAAATCCGAGACAACCTCTGAAAATTTCATAAAAAAGACAATTTTTTTCATGCTTTGATATAAGCAACAACGACAACACTGCTTATTCAATGAGTATATCGTTTCATATGTTTTGATGGCTGTGTGTTTCATTGCCCTGTGTATATTGTTTTTGTATCTTGGTGCATTCAGTTTCGTATGTTTGGATGTCTGTTGTTTTCTTTGCGTTGTGTATTTTGTTTTTGCTTTTTTGTGAGTATTTCGTTTTGTATGTTTCATTGCTTTGTGTATATTGTTTTTGTTTTTTGGTGTATTCAGTTTCGTATGTTTGGATGGCTGTTGGTTTCATTGCGTTGTGTATTTTGCTTTTGTTTATTTTTTGTGTATTTCGTTTCGTATGTTTGGATGTCTGTTGGTTTTACTGCCTTGTGTATTTTGTTTTTTTGTGTGTTTATTTCGTTTAGCGTTGTTGTTGTTCGTTTTGCTATTGCTATAATAATGATATAAACGGGAAAATGAAATAAATTTAAATTTTATACAATTGATATTTTTTAAATACACTGTGGTGAAGGGTATATAAGATTCGGCATAGCCAAATGTAGCACTCTTACTTGTTTTATATAAATCATTATACGAAATTTTTTCTTGATCGGTCCATAATTGGTCATAACTCCCATATAAGGATCATTTCCGAAAATTACTTAAACGCACATTGACAATCCAAGTCATCGACATAAATGTGTATTTTGTATATGTATATAAATCGTTATACGGAATTTTACTTCTGAAAATCACTTAATACCACTTAATTCATTATTAAATGATTATATCCAGATAAAATTCGACATGAGTATGTTTGTGTATAGATAAATCATTATATTAAAATGTTTGCAACTGACCTATTAATATAAAATTTTATGAACCTGATCAAAATTAGTTCCACATATGCATAAATGTTAGTACCCTCACTACGGAAACAACAATTTTGTCAAGTTATCTAAATATTAGATAGTTAAATGGGTTTTAATAAAAAGTAGTTTGCTGGTGGAGGGTATTTAAGATTCGGCACAGTTAATTTTTGATTGCCAACTTTTTACAAATTTCCTGATTGTATGAAATTGTATGTTCAATCTTGTAGATTGAATTTTGATATTTAAAATAGAAAAGTATGCATGTGGAATAGAAATGCATATTTATATTATACGGGTATAAAACTTATCAATAAATTAGAAGTTTTATGTATTTGCCCAAATCAATAAAATAAATTTAATGCTTTATTTCAGATGCTTGATCGTTAATGTTTATGTTAATGAACACACGATCAGAGCATAGACTGATGGTTGCAACAAATGCACAAGCATTGTAAATGTGGGTTTTTTTATGACCATACATTAAATACATAATTTATGATTAGAATGTTTTCTGATTAGAATATTCCACATGCATTGTTTTATAGTTGATAAGAATTTTATGTTAGATTTTAATATTATAAATATAAGTAAATTGTAAATAAATCTGAGAGTTCTCTATACACCCTAAAACCGAACGGTCGTTTTCTTTTTCTGTTGTGCTCAACATTTGGTGACCCCAAGTTTTTTTTTTGTGCACGCGCCGTAAAGTGAAAAAAAAAAAATATATATATATATATATATATATATATATATATATATATATATATATATATATATATATATATATATATATATATACAGTAGTTTTCCGATTTAACGAACATTCGTTTCTACGAACATCGCATTTAGCGAACTATCAATATTTTTACATTGAGTACCTTACATAACGAACAAAAAATACTTTTTGTACTCAGTTTAACGAACAAATATAAATAAAATTAATTGAAATTAGAGTTTAATTAACAAAAATAACTAAAAAACATTTCAGAAAAGCTTCGACGTTTTAGGAGGGGTATTTCCTTTTCTATTGCTTTCGAATATGGATTTCGAGAGTTGATTTTTTCTAATTTAGTAAAATGAAGGATCTAGATAATCTGAGATTTGTTATTAAAGATTTATACAAAAATATGAGATAATCAAATCTACAATCCTTAATGTCGCAAAATCTAGAAAACAAGATATGACAGAGGCAATATTGCAACAATTAAACTGAATTCGCGTTGTAATAACTTTACATTAATCTATTTCCTAAGCCTGATGTAATGGAGGAATTCTGAGGCCAGATTCAGATTCATCGCAATTCAAGACATTGGGTTTCAACTTCTTTAAGAATTATGTCGTCCGACTGCTTTTCCAGAACGTAGATTAGTTTTACGAAATAAACTGTGTTTTTTTTCAGATTTCTTTATTGTTTTCACATTGTGATATAAATTGCTAGTTTTTCATAAAATTCTTATAAAATATTGTCTAAAGAATAATTGTTCAATTCACAATCGATGTTGTAGCGTTGTATGCGTAGTATGTCAGCAGCTGCTACAATAATTATAACAATGTTGTTGGTATTTTCTATGCAAAAGCTCTATACAACTCTTACGACAATTTTTCATATGTTTATTTCAGCTAAAGTGGTAACACAGAAATTCAAACAAACAGCTGTTTACCAAAACAAACAAAAATAAAATTTTATTAAAAACTGTTTATTTATTAGTTTTAAATGTGGAATAATGAAAATAAGAGAATTTTAAATTAAAAGAAATTAATTTGGTTTATTTCACTTGTTTAATTAATTTAATATTATTTGATTTTTTATCTTTTGACATTGTTTGTTTTGATTGTTTTTTTTTTTTTTTTCATTGAGAACATAAACTTATGACTTGCTGCAAAGATCTGTTCACAATCACTGTTACTACACTTTAGTAGATACAATATATAACTTGATTGTGAATTGAACAAATATTTCCTGAAACATATTTTTAAAAATTTGATTTTATGTAATTTTATTATTTATGTACCCAAAAGACACTTTCGAGTTAGTACTGCATATAACGAACTTTTCGATTTAACGAACAGGCCTGACAACATATAGGTTCGTTAAATCGGAAAACTACTGTATATAAATACTTTAAAAAAGGATAATAAAATAAATAAAGTGAAAAAAAAATAAATAAAAATATATATAAATCCTTTAAAAATGTTAATGAAATAAATAATTAAATAAAGAAAACCCGGGCGCGAGTGATAATATAAATAAAATATAAACAAAATAAAATTAAAAACAAAGAAATAAGAAAAAAAAGCTGATAAGGTAAGTCAAATTTTCCTAAGTTTTTATAATCGGGCCGTAAAAAAAAACAACAAAAAATATAAAAATTTATATAAAAGTCGTTTAGTGTATTGTTTTATGAAATATATAAAATAATATCACGACCAGTTGATACAAATTTGTTGCAAATTCGAAATAAATATTATTAACAAAAAGTATTAATAATAATTATTTTGAAAATTGTTTTTACTAAAAGTGACAACAAATTGAAACTGGGAATTGACTTTAATAAATTTCGGGAAGTGCGTAATCTTTTTTGTAGTTTTTTTTTCCTTCTCTTTTTCAGCAATATTTATATTTTGTTTATATATTTTATATTTACATACATTTTAATAATATTTTTTTTTACAGAAAATTATTTGTTTTTTATATTATATATACATATATACACATTTATATTTTCCCTTTTTTGCAGCAATTATACATATATAAATAAAAATGGACCCTGTATCTATTATAAAAGAACAGGAGAGATTAGGGACTGAGATTGTCTCATGTTATAACTCTTTGAGCAAGGTCGCTCAAAGTAATCTTCCTAGCGAGGAAGCAAAAATTAAAGTTATAACATTGAGACAAGTGTTTAGGGAATATGTCGAAAGTTTCGACAAAAATGATAGAGATCTCCGCCCTCCTTCGTCAACAATGCAAAGAAATGCCTATTTTAAAGGTAATTTTGTTGATGAAGTGAGGGCCTCAATAAATAATTTTAATGCTTTGTATGGGCAATTAAAAAAGAGATTTATTGAGGAAGAAAATCTTTTGACATCATCGAATAAAGAACAAGACGATGATACAATGGATAGGCAAAGGGAACCCACGGCTCAAATGGTACTGATCTAGTGTGCCAAAAGGAGGCTACGGTACCATTGTCACAAAAGGAATCCATTGCACCAATGTTACAAAGGGATCTTACTGACCCAATGTGGCAAAAGGAGCCTGGTGTACCATTTTTGCTTCAAAGAGAGCAAGGTTTAATAAATTCTGGCAGAGGTGATATGGAAAAAACCTCTGTCAGAAATAAAAATGCTGGACTGATTCGGCAGTTCCAGTATATTTTGGATGATTTGGAAGCTAAATTGAATAAATTTAAAAATAAGGAAGTCACGATTGACATTCTTAAAGAAAAATTTAAATTAGCCGAAAATCAATTTATTAAATATATGGGCGAATTTCCAGATGACGAATTGACTGACATTTTCTACAATTTACGTGACGAATACCAAAATATCCCGGGCATAGAAAGCTATGCCAAAACATTACCATTCCAGCTGCCCACTATAGACATACCAACTTTTAGTGGAAAAGCTACGGAATGGGAAACATTTAGAGAGTTGTTTGAGCAGCTGATAATAGATCAGCCTGTGTCAAATACTCAAAAAATGTGTATGTTAAAATCGAAGTTGTCAGGAGAAGCGGCAAAAAAGATTTCAAAGTTGCCATCAAAGGATGAGAACTTTGAAGTAGCCTGGAGTATTCTAAATGAATACTACTCCGACAAAAGGGCAATAACATCAATATACTTTAAGAGTATACTTGAAGCCCCTTTCGTAACATATAACGTAAAAAGCGTTAATATGTTTTTAACAAAAATAAATGAGAGTTTGCAGGCATTAGAAGCCATGAAACTGAACCCAGAAGAAATGCAAAAGGCATTTCTTTGTTTCGTGCTTCAGCGAAAATTGGATGATTACTTAAGAATCCAATTTGAACAACATTTGGGAAAATCAAAAGAACTTCCAAAAGTGGATAGTCTAGTTGATTTTCTAAAACAAATTCAATATTCTTTGGAGGCAAGCCAAGATTTCACAAAGGGTGAAAGAAAGATGGTAAATCCTCTAGGAGTAAATCAATGGTCTTGGGAGGCAAACCAAAATGTGGTGAATCCTTCCCGACAAAACATGCAAACTCAGAGGGCAAGTCAAAAGACAAATCCTCCAACGAATTCATTTAAAATAAAATGTCCACTGAATTGTGCAGTTGGACATAATTTAAATAAATGTTCCAAATTTAGGAACTTATCTATAAATGAAAAATGGGATAAGGTACGGGACGGTAAAGTGTGTTTCAGATGTCTCGGTGTTGGACACTCAAATAAAATGTGTAAAAGTAATTTTATTTGTGGAAGCTGCAATGGTGATCATCATACTCTTCTTCATAGGGAAAAGATCCCTGCGAAGACAGTAATAGTAAACGGTGATGAAGACGACGAAGCAGTGTTGTCAACAGCAGTAGTGGAAGTCAAGGATGGAAATGGCCATTGGAAAAAATGTCGCGTTTTATTAGACGGTGGGGCACAAGTCAACATTATTTCGAAAGAATTTAGAAATAAGTTGAATATAAAAGGTTGCAAATAAACAAAGAAGTGGAAGGTTTAGAAAGGAAAAAATCTTCCATAGAGGAAAAGGTTGGGATATCACTTAGATCAAAAGTGACCCAATATAAAACATTCCTTAATGCGGTCGTCATTGACAAATTTGTGTCAAACGTACCAGGAACGCGAATGTTGTTGGGAAATTTTCCATCTAATATTAAATTAGCGGATCCCAAATATAATATTCCACAAGGAGTGGATTTATTACTATCTAATCAATTTGTGTTTGATCTGATTTGCGATGGGCAAATAATTGATAAAAAGACAAACACAAAGCTACGTAACACGAAGTTAGGTTGGGTAGCATATGGACTGATGACAGCAAATGGTTCCAAACCAGAATCAAGTGTGGTCACAACAATTCAAACATCTTGTGATGAATTGTTACAAAAGTTTTGGGAATTGGAAGAGGTTCCAAAAATGAATAATCTCACAGTTGCGGAAAAGCAATGTGAGCAACATTTTGAAGAAAATTTTAAAAGACTTACAGATGGTAAGTTTGAAGTTAAACTTCCATTTAAAGATGAACAGAATAAATTGGGTAATTCTACCATAATAGCTAAAAGAAGGTTCTTTGCTCTAGAAAGAAAATTAGAGAAAAACAAAGAACTTAGATTGGAATATAATGAATTTCTTAAAAAATATTTGGAAATGGGTCATATGGAATTGATAAATAATAATTCGTTTATGAATAGTGGGTATTATTTACCACATCATTGTGTACTTAGGCCAGAGAGTACAACAACTAAGTTAAGAGTTGTATTTGATGCGTCTTGTAAGACAACAACTAATGTTTCGCTAAATGATATCTTACATACTGGTCCTAGGCTGCAAGAAGATCTTTTTAATATTTTATTAAGATTTAGAAAACATCGTTATGTTTTTTCAGCTGACATTGAAAAAACGTATAGACAAATCTGGATTTCTGAAGCTGACAGAAAATATCAGTTAATATTTTGGCGCTGGAATCCAGATGAAACTATTAAAACATATGCTCTTAAAACTGTTACATTTGGAACAGCTTCGGCTCCATATTTAGCAGTAAAATGTTTACAAAAAATTGCAGATTGTAAAGAAGACAATTTTCCAATTGAATCAGACGTAATTAGGAATGATTTTTACATGGACGATTTGATGACTGGAGGAGATTGTATAGAATCATTAAAACGAGTTAGAGAAAATATTGACAATATATTGATGGATTTCGGTATGCCTTTAAGGAAATGGTGTACTAATGAAAAAGTATTGCTCCAAGGTATTGATCCCAGTTATATAGAAAATGATTTAAATATAGAATCAAATAATTTGAAGTCTGTTAAAACATTGGGGATTGTATGGAACCCAAAAACAGACAGATTTAGTTTGAAATGTAAATTGGAATTTCAGAATAAAATTTCAAAACGCACAATTTTAAGCGAAGTTGCTAAGTTATTTGACCCACTAGGTTTAATAGGACCAGTAACGGTAAAAACAAAGATGCTGCTCCAAGATTTATGGAAGTTAAAACTTGATTGGGACGATAAAATTCCAGAGCAATTGACTGAAAATTGGCTTAAAATTAAAGATAATTTCAAATTTCTGAATGAAGTAAACGTTCCAAGACATATTATTTGTGTCAAACCAACACAAATAGAACTTCATGGATTTTGTGATGCATCCATGAAGGCATATGGGGCAGCTGTCTATGTAAAGTCCATAGACAGCAATGGGATAGTTTACTGTCATTTAGCTGCATCTAAATCAAGAATAGCTCCTATTAAAATTTTTCTACTACAGTGATTCATCAATAGTTTTGAGCTGGCTTAGATTAGATCCGGCACGTTTGCAGATATTTGTTTCAAATAGAGTAAGCTTTATACAGGAAAATAGTAATATAAATAGATGGAAACATGTCAGCTCAGAAGATAATCCAGCAGATCTTATTTCAAGAGGATTATTGGTTAAAGAAATAGTACAAAATAAATTTTGGTTTAATGGTCCTAAATTCTTATTAAAGAAAGAACTATATATTTCAAGGATGTTAGAAAAGTGTGAGATACCAGAAATAAAAAAGTCTGCAAAGGTTATTATAGTGAGAGAGAGTAATGATATTTTTGGTAAAATAAATCATAGGAATAATTTTAATGTTTTGCAAAATATAGTGGCGTATGTACATAAATTTATTCATGTGCTTAGAAAAAGGGATAAAGAGCATTTCATTTATTTCAGGAAACTTGCTTTAAAAACAATTGTAAACAATATTCAGGAGAAACATTTTTCGGAAGATCTTAAATGTTTAAAATCTGATAAAAAATTGGCAAAATCATCGAATTTGACAACGTTATACCCGTTTGTGGATAATGACGGGTTAATCAGAGTAGGAGGAAGACTAGAAAACAGTGGTTTAATGTATGATACAAAACATCCAATTCTTCTTCCTTATAAAAATGATGTTGTAAAATTAATGATAGAAGACTTGCATAGAAAACATCTACATGTAGGACCACAAGGGTTACTAGCAATAGTACGTCAAAGATTTTGGCCACTGAGAGGTCGCCAATTAGTAAAAAATGTGATAAACAATTGTTATAGGTGTTTCAGATTAAATCCTAGACAGTTACATCAGTTAATGGGTAACTTACCAGAGGATCGGGTTATTAGAACACGTCCATTTCTGAATGTAGGAATTGATTTTCTTGGACCTATAACAATCCATTATAAGGTCAGAGGAAAGAAAACAGACAAATCGTATGTATGCGTATTTGTTTGTTTTGCGACTAAAGCTGTTCATTTGGAAGTCGTATCTGATTTAACTTCCGCTGCATTTATAGGTGCGTTGAAAAGATTTGTAGCTAGAAGAGGTTGTCCTGGGAAGATATTTTCGGATAATGCTACAAATTTTATAGGCGCTGCAAATAGCTTAAATGAAATACATAAACTGTTTTCAGAAAAAGAGCACTGTAAAAATGTTGATGAATTCTGCGCTCAAAAGAATATTGAATGGCTGAATATACCAGCAAGGTCTCCACATGTGGGCGGATTATGGGAAGCTTGCGTAAAATCTGTTAAGAAACATTTTTATAAAGTGACAGAAGGGACTATGACGTACGAGGAACTTTATACTTTAATGACACAAATAGAGTCTGTTCTTAATTCACGTCCGTTGACTCCTTTGTCAAATGATCCTAATGATTTCCAAGTCTTAACCCCTGGACATTTCTTGATAGGAGAGCCATTCAATACTTTCAATGATTCAATAGATAACAAATGTTATAGTGGTTTGCGTGAGCATTGGAAAGCCGTGCAATCTAATACTGAAAAGTTTTGGGAACGTTGGTCGTCCGAGTATTTGTCCGAATTACAAAAAAGGTACAAATGGAACAAACCGATGCAAAATATTAAACCAAATACTTTGGTTCTTCTGAAAGAAGACAATATTCCTCCAATGAGCTGGAGGCGTGGGAAGGTCATCCGAACTATAACGGGTTCGGATGGATTATGCAGAATGGTGGAAGTAAGGACCAGCAATGGGGAAACGAAAAGATCGATCCACAATGTTTGTCCTTTTCCCACTGATGAAAATGAAGATGAAATTCTGGAAATACCAACCAGAAATATTTCAAATTCTGCTAAAAATTACAGTATGGACATTCCATCTGTAAATAATAATAATAATATATTAATTATTAAAAACAAAAAATCTAAAAATAATAATGATGATAATAACAATCATAATTTGAAAAAAAATATGTATAAAAATAATAAAATAAAAAATAAGAATATTTTGTATACAGTACTAACATTGTTAGCAATTATTAGTCCAGTTAGGTCTTTAGTTAAAATTAATAACTTTAAGAATGAGGCAGGGATATTCTTCGACAGGGTAGCTATGGTTGGGTTAACGAAGACATCATGGAGTATAACAGTGCATATCAACATTAGCGAGTATATAACAGCCATGAATTCCTTGAGCGAAGCAATGATGTCCCTCGGCAAGCTGGAAACTAAAGAAGCAGTGTTCCAGTCATCATCGTACCAGAATTTGCAGACTCTGTATGAAAGAATAGAGAACAGGCATGATATGATAGTGGCCTCCGCACCGAAAAGACAAAAAAGATCATTCTTGCCATTTGTGGGTGGTGTATTTCATTCTCTGTTTTGGATTGATGGACGAAGAACATGCCGAAGAAGTGTCCAAGAAGATAAAAGAAAACGCTGCGAAAGACGAATATTTGCTGAACATTGTTAGAAATTTATCTTCAGCGCAAGATATGACAATGGAAATCATACGCAAACAAAATAAAGCTGTATTTAAAGACATAACGAAGCTGAGTGGAGCCATACAAGTACTGGAAGGAGAAATCCACGAAACCAAAGATGAAGCTACTCGAGTTGCAGCTATAGCCAACATTCTTTCGTCATTAGAGGTACTAGAAAGAATTCAAAATGATATCATTGGGGCAATATTCAATGCTAAAGGAAATTTTCTCAATGGAATTCTTCCGATAAGAAAGTTCAAAAAACAAATTGAACTTATTAAAGTCAACCTAAACAAGAATTTGCGGCTGCCAACTGAAGATCCTGTAGAATTGGCTAAGGTGTCAAAAGTTTTCACCAGAACAACAGAAGATTTCGTACTCTTCAGCATTCAGCTGCCGTTAATCAATCATGAAATCTTTGATGCATATGAAGTATACCAATATCCAATAACTCACGATGGATATTCGGTAAATATTCACACCAACAGCAGATATTTCCTCATCGATAAGAGAAAGGCGCTGTCTTATATTTTAGATGATGGAAACTTTGAGCATTGCCAGAAGATGAGAGATTTAACGCTATGCCATCAAGTACACCCATTGTTCAGCACCAGGTCGGTAAATAGTTGTGAAGTCAAATTATTCCTCAGGGCTAAGCAAATTCCGGATAGCTGTGAAATAGAAATTAAAAATCTTCAAAACTATTGGCGTCAAACATATACACCGAATACTTGGATTTTCTCAGTATATGAACATACACCAGCAGAAGTAACTTGTCAAGATAAAACTCAACATATTGTTTTACATGGTTCAGGACTATTAACTATGGAAGCAGATTGTCATTTGGAAGCAGCAGATCTTCATTTGTGGGCATATGATACATATGCAACAGACGTTCATTATGTGTTCCCCTCTATGAATATTACATCATTTATGCCTAATATAAGTCACTTGAAGCTTAACAGTGAAGTAGAGGTGTACAAGATTCTAGACATTCCTAAAGAAACAACAATTCTTGGTTTTCCGATATTAGCTGAGGGCCATCATCTTAATCATTACAAGATAAGCTTGATCATTATCACTGTCGTCATTATTGCCTTGTTTTGGATACTGAAAAGAACGTGCCATATTTCATCAACCTCTCTGCCAGCTACCATTACGCTTCCCCGTATAATATAGGGTAGAGTTAAGTTAGGAATTTTTTAATTTTTTTTATGAACTTAAGTTTTCTAAAATTTGATTTAAAAGAAAAAAATATATTTAAAATATTGAACTAAAAGGTTCAATATAAATTTATATGATATTGTTGTTATATATAAAGTTTTTAAAATTAAATTATAATTTTTATTTAGTTCTGTTTTGTTCTGAAAAACTAGGAGCTTTCAGGGCCGGCAGAATGTTCAATCTTGTAGATTGAATTTTGATATTTAAAATAGAAAACTATGCATGTGGAATAGAAATGCATATTTATATTATACGGGTATAAAACTTATCAATAAATTAGAAGTTTTATGTATTTGCCCAAATCAATAAAATAAATTTAATGCTTTATGTCAGATGCTTGATCGTTAATGTTTATGTTAATGAACACACGATCAGAGCATAGACTGATGGTTGCAACAAATGCACAAGCATTGTAAATGTGGGTTTTTTTATGACCATACATTAAATACATAATTTATGATTAGAATGTTTTCTGATTAGAATATTCCACATGCATTGTTTTATAGTTGATAAGAATTTTATGTTAGATTTTAATATTATAAATATAAGTAAATTGTAAATAAATCTGAGAGTTCTCTATATACCCTAAAACCGAACGGTCGTTTTCTTTTTCTGTTGTGCTTAACATTGTAAATCTCCATTTTATATCCATAACTAGCTGTACTCAGTGTGCTTTGCTACCCTAAAAGCAATATAAATAAAAATAAGTTAGATTGCTATATTTGGCTCTGCCGAATCTTAAATATCATCCACCTGCAAACTACTTTTTATTAAAACCCAATATAAATATGTTATAAATGGTTAAAGTTATAGGGCCGAATTTATAATATATGTATACCAAAGACATAAATTTTACTTAAGTATTAAAATACAACCCGGCACATGTTTTGTTTCCGTAATTAAGATACTATTTATCATTTTGTAACTTCTTTATACATGTACTAATTTTGATTAGGCCCAGAAACATTTGTATTAAGTGATTTTCAGATACCGACCGATTATTCTTCGAAATATTATGTGCCGATCCTACCGATAATTTATATGGGAACTATGACCAATAATGGACCAATTCTAAAAAAATAATCAAAATGATTTATCTATACATAGAACATACTCATGTCGAGTTTAATAATAAATTATGTGGCATTAAGTGGTTTTCAGAAGTGAACCTTATATGGGAGCTAGTTATGGACCAATGCTGAAAAAATTCCTTATATGGAATGTAACCAATTATGGACCGATGTGGAAAATGTTCACGAATGACGTCGAGTTTTACCCTGATAGCTTTATTTATCAATGAATTATGCGCATTTAAGTGAATTTCGGATGTGGACCTTATATGGGAGCTAGTACCAATTATGGACCGATCCGAAAAAAATTCGTAAAGTAATTAATATTTATACACAAAATAAATATTATACACATCATGCCGATGAATTAAGCTTGTTTAAGTGATTTTAGGATGTGGACCTTATATGGGAGCTAGTACCAATTGTGAACTGATCGGGTGTGGACCTTATATGGAAGCTATAACCAATTATGGACCGATCCGGAAAAAAATTCCGTAGAATGATTTATGTATATACAAAACATATTCATGTCGAATTTTATCCCGATAGCTTTATTTATCAATAAAATATGTTCATTTAAGTGATTTTCGAAAGTGGACCTTATATGGGAACGATGACCAATTGTGGACCGATACAGATCTAAGTCCGTAGTTTTGATTCCTGTTCATATAATGTCAATATGTACAAAATGTTGTGTTGATACCGATATATTTGAGGAAGTTATTAACGATAAATTAATTTCCGGGAATATGTACCTTTGTATGGGGGCTATGGGAAATTTTGGATCGATTGTTACAATTTTAAACATAATTAATCCATAGATGGAAAAAATAATCTATGACAAAATTTGTCGAATTATTTTTGGTAGTTTCTGAGAAAACTACTCAAGGATTAGGGAAAAAAACTTCATTTTTTTTTTAGGTAGTCTGAAATTTTTATACCCTCCACCACCATCAGTTGTGATAGAGGGTATATATACCCTCTTTTTGTTTGTCATTCCGCGTGTAACACCAAAAAATATTCATCTGAGACCCAACAAAGCATATATATTCTGGGTCCTTATGAAATTCTGAGTCGATTTAGTCAGTCTGTCTGTCTGATTAAAACACGCTCACGTTAAAACTAAGCAAACGAAATCAACCAAATTCACTGAGAATATTCATTATTTTCCTAAGCGGTTTGGTATTGAAAATCAGTAAAATCGGTTTACAACGTAAAAAGTTATGAGTAAAAATATCAGACTACCTAAAAAAAATTTAGTTTTTTTTTCCCGAATTCTTGAGTAGTTTTCTCAGAAACTACCAAAGATAATTCGACAAATTTTGTCACTGATTATTTTTTCCATCTATGGATTAATTATGTTTAAAATTGTAACAATCGATCCAAAAATTCCCATAGCCCCCATACAAAGGTACATATTTCCGGAAATTAATTTATCGTTAATACCTTCCTCAAATATATCGGTATCAACACAAAATTTTGTACATATTGACATTATATGAACAGGAATCAAAACTACGGACTTAGATCTGTATCAGTCTACAATTGGTCATAGTTCCCACATAAGGTCCACTTTCGAAAATCACTTAAATGAACATATTTTATTGATAAATAAAGCTATCGGGATAAAATTCGACATGAATATGTTTTGTATATACATAAATCATTCTAAGGAATTTTTTTCCGGATCGGTCCATAATTGGTCATTGCTCCCATATAAGGTTCATAACCGAAAATCACTTAAACGAGCTTAATTCATAGATAAACAAAGATATTTGGATAAAATTCGACATGAATGTGTTTTGTGTGTATATTAATTACTCTACGAAATTTGTTCCGGATCGGTCCATAATCGGTCATAGCTCCCATATAGGGTCCACATCCTATCAGGGCAAACTTATAGTCATCTGAGACCCAACAAAGTATATACATTCTGGGACCTTATGAAATTCTGAGTCGATTTAGCTATGCCCGTCTGTCTGTCCGTCCGTCCGTCCGTCCGTCCGTCCGTCCGTCTGTCTGTCTGTCTGTCTGTCTGTCTGTCTGTCTGTCCGTCTGTCTGTGTAAAACACGCTCACGTTAAAACGAAGCAAGATAATTTAACCAAATACACCCAAAATATTCACTATTATCCGGTACAGTTTGGTATTGAAAATGAGCAAAATCGGTTCACATCGAGAAAAGTTATGAATCAAAATTTAAAACAACTCCAAAAAATAACCATTTTTTACACATTCTGGTGTAATTTTCTCGAAAACTATGCAAGATAATTTCATGAAAGTCATCATACATTCGTTTCTACATAATATCTTAATTCTTGCTGAAAATTGCCAGAATCGGTCCACAATTTCATATACCTCTCATTCAAAAGTACATATTCCCGGAAAATGAGTTTTTTGTTGATAACTTCCGTCAGAATGTTGATATCTTTACAAAATTTTACAGCTTAAAATTCATTGAGAGAAAAAATTTCTGGATCGCTCCATAATTTGACATAGCTCCCATACAAAGTCCCCTCCCGAAAATCACTTAAACGCACATAACTCATTACTTAATTAAAATATCCATATAAAGTTTGGTACAAGTATTGCTCTCATATACAGAAATATTACCGTGAAATTTTTTTCCGATCGGTCCATAATTGGTCAAAGCTCCCATACAAGGACCCTTTCCGAAAATCACTTAAACGCGCATAACTCATTACAAAATATTGATATCCATACATTTAGCACAAATATTCCTCTTATATACATAAATTACACTATAAAATTGTTTTACGATCGGTCCATATTTGGTCATAGCTCTCATACTAGGTCCCCTCCAGAAAATCACTTGAATGCACAATATTCACTACTAAATTATGATATAGATACAGAATTTTGAAATTTTGTCTTTATATACATAATTGGTCATAGCGCCTTTACGAAAATCTCTTAAACGCACATTACTCATTACCAAATAAAGCTATTGATATAAAATTTGGCACAAATATTAGTTTGGTATACAAAAATTCTATTTCAAGATTTTTTCACGATCGGTCCATAACATGGGTGCGGTCGGTCCCATGCAAATGTCCCTTCAGAAAATCACTTGAACACACATTACTTATCACTAAATTACGATATAGATACAAAATTTGACTGAAATATAGATTTTATGTACAGAAATTTTGCTTAAAGAATTTTTTACGATCGGTTTATAATTGGTCATATCTCCCATATTAAGTCCTTCCACTAAAGGCAATTTAACCGTATTTAGCTAATTGCATTATCAATTTGTGTACAACAAAATTATATATATGTATTTTGAAAATCCTTAAATCTTTCACACACATGCATACATACACATTATTAAATATCGTTAAAGCATACCTTAGGGCGCTATAAAAATATAAAAGAAAATGTGGTTTGTAATGTTCAATAAATCTTGTAATTGTAACAGATTTAAGCTGTTTATATCTTGGGGTTTTCTATTTAAGACATGAGAAAACTTATTTCTACAAATATTTGATCAATTAAAAAAGTATTACTATGAAAAAAGCTGGTGGCGGGTATTTAAGATTCGGCTCAGCCGAATATAGCACTCTAACTTGTTTTATTTAAAAATTATGGATTACTAATGAAAAATATGTCCCAGAATTCGCAGATTTTCGTAAATATTTACATGTACTTTAAAAACACTCCTTTTTTTGTCACGTATGATATCGCCATATTTTAATCCATATTTTGGAAAATGGGAAATGGGTTCCGAATGGGATGATTCCTGTTGCAAATATAGTATTCTTTAAATGGAACAGAATGACAAAATTGTTTTCCAAGTACTCCTAATTTTACAAAATCTATACCACTCTAAAGGCCTGCGAATGTCACATACTATAGTATGTAA